TTTTTTTAAATATAATTTTCTTCATGGGGGTGATATTAAACAGAGAATCATATTTGCTTTAATATGTGGCAAACAAATGTTCTGTTAGAGTTAATGTGGTTTAATTAGAAGAACTCAAACAGTGAATCTCACAGAAAGACTCAGCGACGCGCTCCCRTCACAGCAGTCTCTCATCAAGAGGAGAGTTTGTCACTCACACAGAGTTGGACAGATCTGTTCGATAACAACGTTCTGAACAAATATTTAATATAAAGTTAGGTTTTACAGACCAAACTCTCTGGTAGTTCAGGAGCAAAGTGCAGGAGGAGATGTCAGGACTGATCTCCGTGGGTGCCCGGGAATAATCGGCGCCTATCAGCTTGAGTTGAGCTGCTGCTTCAACCAAACCAGCTCACACTGAAAGCCCCACCCTGCTTTGCTGTGATTGGATAAAATGGCTCTAGACTTAGTCTGATTTTTTGAAGGCAGTGTCTCAGTTTAATCTTTGTATCAGGGTCCCACTGTCCTAAGAGGCTTGGTGAGCACCGAACACGATCCAGTCTCACCAGTGCGGCTGGATTTTTAAATTTTTTTTTTAAAGAAATCAGGTCACATTTGCGACTAAACTGGTTGGACTCTAGAGCCCTGCTAGCTGTTGTTTTGACAATCTCAGGTATGCAAATGAGCTTCACGACATTCCATCTGGTGCGCTTTTTCTTTTTTCTTTTTTTTTTGGACCGCGCATGCGTACCACTTATGTGCAACTCTGGTTATACAGACAGACTCTGATATCATGGCTAACCAGAAACGGAGCTCAAAAGTGTGGGATCATTTTAAGAAAATGAAAGAGAAACTTGTGCAGTGCAATATCTGCAAGGCAGAACTTGCAGCCTTTGCAAGCCTTTCACAGCAATTATTTTTAGTCAGCATTTAGCTACAATCAAACAGTGGTTACATAATAGCAGCTGCATTCTGGCGCGATAAGCTGTATGTTTTATAATCAATTAACGTATGATTTGATTAGTCAACTAATCGAAAAAAATAACTGGTGATTAGTCGACTATAAAAATAATCATTTGTGGCATCCCTACTTTAGATATGTGTATTTTACATAAAAGTAAATAAACTGTTCTTTGTTTTGTTAAATAAAAAGGCTTTACATAAATTCACAGTGTATTTCAAAGTTCTAACAAAAGTCTGCTTTCTGCGTCATAGAAATCAAACGGCTCTCTATTTGAATTTGGATGGTATGAAGTGGACCGTTCATGAATTTTGCAACACAACTTGTGCAAAAGGCTATAACTGACAGTATGTCTAATGCTATTAAAATGGAACGTGAACTTGTTTATGTAATTGCAAAGCCACACTCTCAGTGGAATTGTTCTACTCACTTCATGGACACCAGCCAAGAACAAATAAATATTAGAGGTGGCAGAGCATTTTTTCCTTTGACTTCACCTAATGTTCCCAATAAGGCCGATACTATTATACCAGCGTACACAAAGTACATTCTAAAACTGTAAACTATGAGAACATAAATGGGAAATGGGGATAATTAAAAGGGAGGAGCTGTGAGGAAGCAGGCTTTTTTTTCCCTTGCTCTCTTTTGTACTCGTTTGGAATAAGAGCTGGCATAAAACAACTCTGGCAGCTTTTTGAAGGACTGGCAAGCCTTTCTGCAGCCTAGGGTAATGGAGTATTATCTACAGAGCCAGATTCCCAGCTCAGAGTGTGTGTGTGTGTGTGTGTGTGTGTGTGTTTGAGTGTTGCTGTGTGTCATGCATGCTTTGGCACGCAGTGTGTGGTCTGCCTGTGTGTGTCCTCAATTCAGACGCTCATGTAAATAATGTCTGGGAAATGTTGCGAGGACTAGAACGTTTGTTGGAAACTATAAAATTATCTTGAACATATTCACACTTTAAAACCAACACAATATTGTATTGTCTGGTAGTTTTATTTCTTTTATTTTAGTTTGTTTGTTTATTTGTTTATCTGATCCAGTCTTTTAATCGCTGTCTAAAAGTTGTCTGGTTTTGTTCAACTCGTTCTGTTTTTTCTCCCAAGTAGCACGTACTAAGCTTTTCCAAGTACCCCTGAATTTTCTCCAACCCTACTTTGGGAACCACGGGTTGGAAGTGACTGCAGCTGCTAATTCTCGCCTCATGTGTAAAATTTGAAAGTTACCATTGTGTTTTGCGGCTTTGCAGAGAAAAAGAACATTTTAATTAAACCCCTCACTAATTCTAGTCTAGACAAAACTAGCTGTTAGCAACTCTGTGGGAAGGATTATTTCTCTCCGATGAGTGAGGCCGCTAAACCTCTCTTTCCCCTGATTAACAGCAGCTGATCGGAAAAATAAAATAACATTAGCACGTTCAACCACTTCCGGTAATAAATAAAGTTAAATAAGAAACATACGTTTGTATGGTTTCCTGACAATAGAAGTGTGTGTGCAAATTGCCACAAAAGAAATATTATTTCAAACCCCTGCTGTTCGTTTGAGTTTACCAAAAAAAAATTTGTACAAAAACAAAACAAGCTCGTTTGAATGGCTGCATAACTGAGTAAGTTCAGCTTACTGACACACTTCCTTCCTGTTCATCCATCAATGTAGTACACAGCTAGTGTATTTGGAGGCATTCAGGTGTAAGCCTGCTTGTAGCAGGTGCCACCAACACATTACTGTCTCCTAATTTTCCTAAAGCAAGTTTTTGTTGCTGGGTGCCGTGGAACTGACAGCTGACAGAGCAAATGATAAAGAACACTTGTAAATGTTTTATCAGTGTTTGATTTGGACACTTGCGATGCACAAAAAAAATAAAGTATTTGCAAATCAGATCATATTTTCTGTTTTTTTTTTTTTTTTTAAGCCTGAGGCAGAGCAGTACTTGTGTTTATGTCTGAGAACGGTTTTTCAGTCATTACTCAAAAATGCATTATTGAGAAACAAACTTGTTGTTTGGTGCAGGTCAATGATTTTTCTGCTGCAGTTGAGTGGGTGAGCATAATGCTGCCTTTGATATGAGCTATTTATGTTGTGTGTTCATCATTTATTCTAATTTGCTCACCGTTGCTGAGCTACTCATCTATTAACCTTTGCACATGCGATGAAATTTGCAGAGCACAGACTGTACATCAAACAAACAGCTGATTGATTTTTAGTTTATTGTTATTTAAGGTCAGGTCACGAAAACATGAGGCCTGGGAGGAAAACCCAAAAACCTCACACCCCAGAGACACTCTCCAGCTTCTCCTGCAAAATCTTAAGTTATAGCCATGCCAGAAGGGCTGTGCCTTCTTTCCAATGAGTTCTGAGTTCGCCCTAAGTTGTCCTCTCAGTATTCCTTGCCCACAAACCCTGAAAAGAGAAACTACCAGAAGGTTTTCTTATGAAACGCTTGAACCATCTGAGCAGATTCCTTTTGATGTAAAAACACTGCAGCTTTACTCCAAGTTCCTTTGGAATCACAGAACTCCTCATCCCGTCTTTAAGGATGACCCTAAACACCCTCTGGAGGAACCTTATTTCAGCTTGGATACAAATTCTTGTTCTTTTGTTTACGACTCAGTTCTCATGACCCCGGGTGAGAAAACAAAACTGAATCAGTACATTCAAAGCCTCACCTACTGGTTCAGAGACCAAAGCAATATTTCATTACTGCCAACGATGCTCCTCACGCTCATCTTTTGTAGAATGGACACCACAACTTGGTGACTCCTAACCTGATCCTGGGAGCTGTTTTGTCAAGGCATTAGAGCAATTCAGAGACTTTGATGCAAGAACACCATTGTAAAAAAAAAAAGCACTTCATGCTGAACAGGATAACTAAGAAACCCCTTGGAACCTGTCCTATGGGTGAAGCTTGTTAGTGAGAACATGGTGGTCAAGGCTTGACTTCACGCTTAGCTTCCAGAAGCTGTACCATCATCACATCAGCCCATCATTAGTGGGGAAGAAAGTTAAGGTTTTCTGCTGCATAATCCAGTAGGCAGGGTCTGCAGTGCCTTTGCAGTATTTTATGCTCACGGATATTTACAATAAGCTGTTTGGCTTCAGTACAGAAGCTTTGGCATGATTTTCTACAGGCACAACCCACATACTTAACTTGGCCCCTCTATCAGCAAATTAATTTACTGAACAAATGTGGCACCATTTAAGGGGAAATAAACAGGCTTTCTAATATTGCCTAGAATCATTGTAAAAACCAGGACTTCAAAAACCAAATTCAAATTTTCTTACTTTTTGTTCCGTTTAGTTGCAGTCAATACCACACAGCTCTAGAAACCATACTCTTTGAGATGGTATGGACTCTCCTACACTCCTGAGTTAACCAGGAGTGGGGTAACTGACAAATTCTCAGCTCAGTGTTGAAGCTCTCCCCATGTAGGGTTGCTTCTTGCAGCCGTAAGTTGCAGAAGGGAAGGTTTTGACTGTTTATACAGCCAAATACACATGGGATTACCAATCCTCCCTGGAGTCTCTAGACGATGTCCAGGAGATATCTGGGAATTCCAGCATTCTTCTTAGGAACTTAAACATCAGTGTGAGCAATGATTGTTGTTGAATGGGAGAACTAGTTTCTGTGATGAATTTGATGATCATAACAAAAAAAAGTTCAAGCATGTTCCATAATTGTACTTGATAGCAGGTCATTACTGGTCAAAGGTTGATGACTTTGAACAAATACCACTTGCACATTTTGTTTTTTTTAAAGAGCAGATTCTTTTTCTTGTCCGTCCTTCCAAACAAGCCCTACTTGTTCAGCCTTTTTCTAATTGTAATCATGTTTAGCCTTTACTGTGCTCACGTCAGTCTGTAGTTCATCTGATTAACTGAACATGGCTGCCACTTACCCTCCTAATTTCAAGCAGTTGTGGTAGACAGATTTTCTACACACTGCTTCTTAAATAACAATCATGTAATGTGCTATATAATGCACTATTTTACCACAATTCTTTTATTTCCCCCTGCATCCGTCTTAATGGTCATTTTCTTCTTGATGATTTCTGTTTCCTTACAGCGAGAGAGGTTCCTGCGACACAGCGACACCGGTCCCGGCCCTTCATGCGACTGGCTGTCGACAGACCCCAACGCCTCCCCTGCCGGTGCCAGATCCCTGAAAGAAGGCAGCAGTGCCTGTTCCAGGCCAAGAGCATGGAGCGTCCGCACCTTCCAGGACTTCCTCCCTCCACTGCCGCAGCTTCACAAGAAGTGGTGTAGCTGGAACTCCACCAGTCCCTTCACCAAGCTGATGGATAGCGTCAGTACTCGGGCTTTTTCATTGTTTTTACTGTATGCTCACTGATGTTTACGGTATGCTGGAATGTTGATGAGGTGTTGTGTGCTCATTACTTATGGCGTCTTAAATTTTATTTAGAGAAACGAGCAGGATTTGGTTCTAATGATTTATGGTTGTCTTCACAAGTACACTATTATTAATGAAAGGTGATTTCCTAATGTGTCTCGTTTTAGGCTCCATCCAGTTTGGCTGCGGACTGCAGAGGGAACGGCAGGAAGGTTTTCTCTGATGTTCACCTGGAGGTCCAGGCAGACGCCGGAACCTTTTCTGATTCGCCCGTCAGCAACGCCTCCTACCCGCTCACACAGCACTCACAAAGGCAGCGGCGTCTCAACTCCACCAGCAACTTGCGCCTCTCGCGATTCACAGGACCTTGCCTTGGCCTCCTTTCAGAGATGAAAGACCCGCCGAAGGGGTCCGGGGTGAGTCCAGGCCCACCGTCAGAGCCCAACTCTCCCTCCTCCACCCAGTGTCAGATTGAGAGTGGCCAAGCTGTGAAGGGTCGTGAGTTTCCAGGTGACGGCGATCACATCAGCGTTCCAGTGTTTGCTATATCTGAAGAGGAGGACCAGCAGCCTCTGGTCTCAGCCGAACACCTGGACCTGACCTCTGCCCCCGCGTTGCAGAACGGACGGGTCAAGGGGCCGTATGAGAGCAAGAGGCCTCCCGTCGGGAGCCTCAGCCCCAAACGGGCCAGACCCGAGTGGAGGCCGTGGGGGAGCCAGGTGTCTGGAGGGGTTGGTCCGCACTCTTTCAGTACATTTACCGACTCGCATGCAGCGAACGTGGGCCAGCCTGCTCTCGGTCTGTCTGCAGGGCTGTGCACCGTCATGAACCACATGTGACAGCCCTGAGTGAGAGACTCCTGGGCCACTTCTTCACTACTCAACTTTTAGTGTCACTTTTAAATACAACATGTCTTCCTTTCTGACATCAACTTTACAGAGTTATTCCTTTTTCACTAGGTCTTTGTTGGAACATTATTCAGTTTTTATAAAATTGCTCAAGGACAAAGTAAATGCTGCTTTTTTATATACCAAGGCACTGACTGATGTTCAAAGAAAGAGGACTTCCTTGTTGTTAAACTGTACCATCGCTGCATCTATTAGAGCACCTTTAACCAGCTATTTGAACATTTTATTGCAATTGGATTAGTTTCCTCACTCCAGCTGTTGTACTTTGCATTAATCCTTACTGTCAGTGTTGAACGGTGCTRCTCACTGCAGCCTTTATGTAGTTTCTTTGGCCCAAGCCTACAAAAGGATCATACAGTGTCTAGTTACCCAAAAGTATTCTGTAGATCATTTATATCAATGTTTTATGTATATTTCTAAGATCAACAATGGATTATAAAAGGGAAATTTAAAGTATTAATATACACCATTAGGTAGTATGGTATGGAGAATAGTATGGTAACACAATAGCATTTACTAGTTTATTGTAAAGTTTCAATAAAGACTTTAAAACATTTTGTGTCTTTAACAAAAAGAAATTCAGTTCTTTCAAACACTTCATGTTTATCCTATATTTTTTACACATCTTTAGTGTTCATGTGAATTTTCTTGTAATTTATCAAACAGCTAAGAGTACAAACTAAAATCCAAGTGAAATATTCATGATAAAACTAAATATACTTTGACAAAAAAAACAACTTCCAGGTTTAATAGTTTTTTATTATAGTTAAACTGGCAAATTGGAAAATACATTAGTTAAGATTGAACATTTTTATCATGTATTAGTAAAACTTAAGTCTGTACGTGCTTCATGCTACTCTGAAATATCTTCCAAAATGATTATCTAGATTTTAAAATAGTGCATCACACAAACTTTACAGGCATCAGTATAAAGATCTGTCACTGAAAATCCAAGCACAGGTTTTATTCTGGGGTCTGAATTGRACTGATACCCCCTTCAGACCCTAATTCATGGAAGCTGACATGAGGTAGAATAAACCTTTTTATTTTTTAATCCTGAGCAGCTCAGTCCAAACGTTTACAGAAAAAGGTGAGCAAACCTACACCTCAGTATAAAACTACAGACACCCATCAGTCCAGGCAGAAAGCAAAGTAAACCCTCTAAATGCCAGTTTCTGATTGGAGCGGCTCGGGACTGTTGTCAGCTCAGGGCGAGCAGATTTCCTGTAGAACATAATTAAAACTTGTCGGGGGTGGGGATGATGAGGGGCTGAGCTGCTATGGAATGTCGACATAAACCCAGCATGAATGAAAATAATAATTAAAAAAAGTATACTGGAAATGATCCACCACCTTACTTATACTGCTAATGAGCCTACTACTGAATGAAACCTAAGCAAAAATATAAAAAAGTGCCCATTCAAAGAGTTCCTGCCCAACAAATAAAAACCGACCACTAAAAAACAAAACACCAATATTCACCATTAAAAATCACCAAAAGTTAAATATATCAAAAGTTACTATTTATATAACTAATAAAATCTTCATCTCTAGAAATTTTCTCCCTTTTTTTTTTAAATCAAACATTTAATTTTGGAATGAACCTTCATATGATTGAGCTTTCATTGCACACGCTGCACAGGATTTTCACTGATAAACTTCAAACTGGCAACTAAGCCTTAAATGTGTGCAAATATTAAACTAATTATTCTTGCAAATCAATTAAAATAAAACAAAAAAATTGCACAAAATGTACTAGAGACCTGCAACAAACTGCTTTGACTGTTTTCCACTTCACATCCACCAGCGTTTATAACAGACTATAAACAAAGAAGGTTGTGAAGATTACATTTTATTCTAATATACAAGGCCTCAAGCTCCTCTGGAAGTTGTGACTTTTTTAAGGCAAATAAAACAATTTTACAAACTGATTAGTCTAACTTTGTACATTATCATCCAGATTTAGATGTTTATTTTTAAACATCGGTGATGATAGTCTTAAGTTCAGTGCTTTATAACCCTCACTGTTTTCCTTTTTTTTTTTTGACATCAAAATCCTTTAATGTGGCTAACCTGGGAGTAAAACCTAACAGCAGCTTTGTGTACCTGAGAAGTAGGAAATCTGAACAAAAATGCTGATGGGTTGAGGTAAGTGAGAAGTGGATCGTGACATGTTCTCATCATTCTTTAAGCTATGTGCTGCAGAGTGTTCAAACTTTTGACCTGCATCACTTAAACGTTCAGATTAGATGTTTCTTGTGCTTTCAATCCACGTGGGACAGCCGTGCRTTTCATCACAGATTAGCCCTGACTGCAGGGGCCATAGGAAAGTGTCCCTTTTTTCTCCATGTTAAATCACCTTGGAGATGATTATCCAGAACAAAGCACACAGCAGAGGCCCCCTCTGCCTTCTGACAGCATGACAACACATTGATCTCCTTCCCACAGACATGAAATCCTATACAAATATCACATGGGATTACAGACCTGACCTCGTACGTGAGTGAGGGGCTTTGACGTGGCTTTTTGCTCCTGCCTGGGAACATGGTTATGCCCTGATTAAACAGGCGGTGGCACTTTGCTTAAAGTTAGCGTGCAGCTAAAGAGCAGTTTGTTTAGCACGTCCTGGTTAAAAGTAATACATAAAAGAAATATTTTTTTAAAATACTAATAATCACTTCACGGTWACCCTATCCAAACTTTATCTGCATTACGTTGGAGGCCCTGAATTTTACATTCAGTAAGTAATGAGAGCATTAAAATTATTCTATTGCAGAAACAGTAAATCCATGAGGTACTTTACGGGTGGCCATAAAACAGGAGTACATATTTAGGAAGCACTTTGAGTCATTCCACCAAAAAACTGACCTGCTTTATCATAAAGTGGTTTAAACGATTCATCGATATGTGACATAAAACTGAGGTAACAGCTTTTGCTGTTCAACCAACAAGCTCTGTGTTCAGCCTTTCCAAAGACTTTTAATACATTAATAAAATGTGCATAGCATTTTCAAAGTTGACCACTATTGTAAATGGACACTGACAGTATTATGTGCATAGGGTTATTGCATAAGGCTATAATAGACACAAGCAAACTTAAGATAGTGTTTCCCACCCTGTGCACAAGATGCAGATTTATCCTCATCTGACACAGTGGAGAAGAAACGAGCCTCTGGCTCCTTCAGCTCTTGAAACGTGTCTGCTCACATATGTGGTTGAATTTCCTGAAAWTAGAGAAAAATAAAAATGTACAAAAAGGTTTTGCGTGTCGAAGGAGAGACGACTTAAAACTTGCATAAAATCTCAACAGTAGAAACTGTGGAACTTTGTAGAAGGGCTCCCCCTAGTGTAGAAAAGGTGAAACCCATGCAGACCAGTCACATCTGACATGATTGTCTGAAGTAGCACCAACACTAGGGTCGGACAATATTGGCAAAAAATAAATTAAAAATATTCAATTGAGATTAGCTGTAGCATTTAGTCAATAACTATTAATAAGACAATTAACAGATGACAATTACACTGCAGATTTTTGACTCCTAATCAGTTACACTGTGTTCTAAAATTATACTAACAAATCATCAGTCAAACTCACTTTTTTCTTTTCTTTCATTTTTAATAGTGCATTATGACACAGGCTCACATGCGTGCTTGATAGTGAGAGGGTTGCACACAAAAACACATCACATGGCACTAGCAGAAGTAACTGCAAAGTGTTGACGATTAATTTCACACGATACAATTTTGCCCAACCCTAGTCAGCACTGGTCTCAGCRTTTTGTGGGGTTAGCTGTACAGTGCATCCGGAAAGTATTCACAGGGCTTCACTTTTTCCAAATTTATGTTACAGCCTTATTCCAAACTGTATTAAATTAATCTCTTTCCTCAAAATTCTACACAAAATACCCCATTATGACCATATGAAAAACATTTTCTTGAGAGCTTTGAAAATTTATTAAAACTAAAAAACAAATAAATCATATTTACATAAGTATTCACAGCCTTTGCTTAATACTATGTAGAACCACCTTTGGCAGCAACTACAGCCTCAAGTCTTTTTGAATATGATGCCACAAGCTTGGCACACCTATATTTAGGCAGTTTTGCCCATTCTTCTTTGCAGTACCTCTGAAGCTCCATCAGGTTGGATGGGAGACGTCTGTGCACGGCCATATTCAGATCTCTCCAGAGATGTTCAATCGGATTCAAGTCTGGGCCACTCCAGGACATTCACAGAGTGGTCCTGAAGCCACTCCTTTGTGATCTTGGCTGTGTTCTTCAGGTCGTTGTCCTGTTGAAAAATGAACCGTCGCCCCAGTCTGAGTTCAAGAGCGCTCTGGAGCAGGTTTTCATCCAGGATGACTCTGTACATTGCTGCATTCATCTTTCCCTCTATCCTGACTAGTCTGCCAGTTCTTGCTGCTTAAAACATCCCCATAGCATGATGCTGCCACCACCATGCTTGACTGAAGGGTGGTATTGGCCTCGTGATGAGCAGTGCCTGGTTTCCTCCAAACATGACGCCTGGCATTCACACCAAAGAGTTCAATCTTTGTCCCATCAGACCAGAGAATTTTGTTTCTCATGGTCTGAGAGTCCTTCAGGTGCCTTTTGGCAAATTATGGGCTGCCTTGTGCCTTTTACTAAAGAGTGGCTTTCGCCTGGTCACTCTGCCATAAAGGCCTGATTGGTGGATTGCTGCAGAGATGGTTGTCCTTCTGCAAGGTTCTCCTCTCTCCACGGAGGAACACTGGAGCTCTGACAGAGTGACCATCGGGTTCTTGGTCACCTCCCTGACCAAGGCTCTTCTCCCTCGATCGCTCAATTTAGATGGCCGGCCAGCTCTAGGAAGAGTCCTGGTGGTTCCAAACTTCTTCCATTTAAGAATGATGGAGGCCACTGTGCTCACTGGGACCTTCAAAGCAGCAGAATTTTTTCTGTATCCTTCCCCAGATTTGTGCCTCAAAACAATTTGGTCTCAATTCCTTTGACTTCATACTTGGTGTTTGCGCTCTGACACGCAGTCAACTGTGGGACCTTATATAGACAGGTGTGTGCCTTCCCAAATCATGTCCAATCAACTGGATTTATCACAGGTGGACTCCATTAAAGCTGTAGAAGCATCTCAAGCATGATCAGTGGAAACAGGATGCACCTGAGCTCTATTTTGAGCTTCATGGCGAAGGCTGTGAATACTTACGTACATGTGATTTCTTAGTTTTTTATTTTTAATAAATTTTCAGAACTCTCAAGAAAACTTTTTTTACATGGTCATAATGGGGTATTTTGTGTAGAATTTTGAGGAAAGAGATTAATTTAATACAATCTAGAATAAGGCTGCAAYGGAACAAAATGTGGAAAAAGTGAAGCACTGTGAATACTTTCCGGATGCACTGTATTTATAGTTATTTTATATTTTTTACTACTTATATCTGACTCCAATATTATTTACAGCTTTAAAACATTTGTGAACAAAGGAAGTTGTAGTGTCATAGTAAAATTTTTTAATGTGTAAATTTAAAAATGTGTTTTTGTACTTTTTGTTGGTCAGATGATATCAATMGTCTTAATGATTTATACTGACTGTCATGGACTCACTGCACAGAGAGCAGCTACTTAAACTGAAATGAGTTTTCTGTTACATTTTGCATCCACTAAGACTTACATTGCATGATGAGCCTTCACCTGTGTGCGACAGTTGCGTCCCCAGTAACAGTCGGGGCGAGATGTGACTGCAGCTGAGGGCCAAACATCAAAAAGCTGTCATGAATGGATAAAGCAGGAACACTTGTATACTCTGTATATTTAAAGAACTGCGCAGAACTTTCTGACCTGGCAGTTCCGATGGAGGGATGTTCTGTCTGTATTTGTAGGCCAGCTCCTTAAAGGTTGTCAGACCGCAGCAGAAACAAAGGATGGTGCTCGCAGAGATCCGACAATCTGACCCAGAGAGGATTCAACAATTCAGGTGGTTTATGAGTGGGGCCGTGATTTTTATTTTTTTAAATAAAGGAGTCTGCATGTTTGCACAACCAAGACTGAACAAAGATATAATTTAGTGTTTGCTCAGAGYGCCCACCTGTCAGGAAGTAGTTTCCCTGCTGCAAACCCTGCAAAGACTCCTGCAGTAGATCTTTCCACGACTTCCCTCTGGAGGACAGGTAGTTCTGGTGGAAGGACAGAAACAAAAAGAGTTTTTAAAATTCATAAAAACTATATATGCAATGGCATAATCTAGTGAGCAAAGCAAAATTTAGCATACAAATAATGTGTGTTGAACTATTGGTTTAAACGTGCAATGTATATTAAAGTAGCTAGTAAAAAAAAGAAGCATATTCTCACAATATGAAGGCTTACTTTTAGGATCTCTGATTCATAACTATTGTAGTTCAGTATATTATCCAGGCACTTGTCAGTCAGATTGATCTCTGAAAAATAAAATAATATGTACTTTAGCTGCAACACATTTTGTAGCCAACACAAAAAGTTATTGTGAAAAGTCACAACACTGTAGGAGAATATCTACTGCTGGACTGTTTTGGGTTTCATGATTACTTTAAACTGTTGAAAACCATAAATACAAGTGTTTTAATAACTTTGGACAGTTTTTTTCATTAGAACACGACTTTTGCACAGTTCAGTTCAGTTATCTGTTTGGGTTAATGAATACCTACCACTAAATCGAGTCAGACATCCTCGACAGCCARTCCTCGGGCAACCCCAGTACATATGACAGAAAGGTCGCTGGCACAGCGTACCTGTCAGCACAACACACCGTGTAAATACTTGAACTAGCAGATCGTTTTCCTTCAAGTAACTCTGTACATTCAATTAGCTTTGAGTTAGAAAACATTTCACACAGTCACTGCTGTTGAATGATAGTGTAGTTTTAATTGTCTACGGCACAGATAACATATATTTGGACTAATGGTTGTTTGGAGAACTCACACTGTTGAGAAATAATCTGCTGGTTGTTCAGCTCGGCCAGTCGGTCTGGCATGGGCTGGAGGCAGCAAGTGCAGAAGAGATGGAAGCCCTGAGGGGGACAGTGGTACTCCTGAGGTGCTGCTGAGGAGACACATGTGAAAGGAGCTTTTCAGACAAACAAAGCTGTGAGAGAACACATTAGGGATGGCGTGATTTTTGATTCAATCCTCTATCGGCGATTGAAGGGTTGGAATGTGATTTTTTTTTAAGGGCGATCTTTATTAATTAATTAAATGCCGTGCCAGGGATGTAAAATAATTTTTAAATGCGCCCTTCTCTGTAAATTAAAATGTTTTAATCATCATCAATTTGATCTGTGCAAACGAGGGAATAAAACGCGTCTTTTTTTTCTCGGAGTCTGTGCCAACATGCGCAGCTCCTCTTCACGTCTCTTTTCTCGTTATCTTCTTGCTTTGGTGCGCCACAATTGACCCAAATAGAGCTATATTATTACGTTTAGTAACAAAACAAATAATCCATGACAATCATACATTTGAACAAATAACTTTAACCAGTTCCAAACCGGACCGGAGCGCACTGCCTCACCCCTGCTTTTCCCCGTCACTCTGGGCTCTGGTGTGTGTGTGTTTGAAGCACGGGTCGAACTTTTCACCCCCCTCCACATAAGAACACATACTTGGTCAGATGTCTGAGGGAGTGTTTGTTTGTGCTGAAAGCGCTCAGACGCTGCGTTTGCTTCAACCCCTCGCTTAAAAAAAAAWGAGAGAMAAAAGGCGACTCGTTCCCAGGAAGCAACGATTTATAAAGATAGTCAAAACGAGTCAAACGGCCAAAACCTCATAAAAGGGGATAAAACAGAYGATTTTCACAATAAAATCTGACTGATAAAACTTTTGAGCTTAATCCTGGACCAGTTTGTGGATAAACAACGTCAGACTTTTTTTTTCCGCATTGGACTCCACCGGTAGAGAAATGCCATGCAGTGACGTGTGCTGCAGCAGGAGGGGGGTTTCCCRGCRTGGGGTGTCTCAGGAATGTCATTCGGAAAGAAAGACGAGCACAAAATAAGCAACTCACGTTAAAAGATAAACCCAAAAAACCGCAACCTGCGATTCAAGGAATTTACAAGCGACTTTAGAAAAAATGAAGCCGTCACTTATAATAAGCGGACCTGTGTGTTTTTTCTTCTTCTTTTTTTTTAACAACGTAACTGCGCATGCCTTATCAGCCGACTGGATCATCTACCGGCAATAGCAGTGACCATGATCTTATGATCTGAAAATAGGGCCGATTTCCCATCTGTAGAACAGATCTGTCATGATGCAGTTTTGAACGTCTTTGTCTAACAGGAGTGTTTATAGTCGAGGAAAACATGMGGGGGACAAATGATCAGAATTCCTCCCTCTGCAGCACACGTCACACGCACAGCTGAGCATAGAAACAACAGTGACAGCAGGATAAGACGGAGGTTTTTGATTTTTTTTCTCCACTCGACGATGTATTGGACGCTGGAGGAGAAGCTCGTGTTTTTGGATGAGGAGTTGTCGGAGAAGAAAGATYTGGTATTTCTCTTGCTAACCACCGAGATGGAAAGAAGTCATGGACAAGAGTTCACCCGCTTAACAGGACCAGAGCTGCTCCTCGAAGCTGTCCATCTTGCTACTATAACAACCGGCTCCTGGGAGCGGACCATTACGCTGAATGACGTGCAGAAGAAATATGATCTGTTCCACATAAACAAACACGCCCACCAAGTTCTGACCAAGCACACATGGCGCGTTCTGATGTACAAGACAGGGTGTCAGTGGAGGGTAACAGATAGAAGCTATGCAATATTAGTCATGCAACAGCACAAGAGATAACAAATGAAAGCATGAAGACCTCCATATACTCCATCCAAACTGCCAAAATAGGCTCATCGTTGCAGTTGCACAGGGATGGGTACCGAAACCCAATATTGTTTCAGCGCTGGTTCCATGTGATTAATTTGACTGGATCATTAAGCTCCAGCCTTAACAGTGTTGTTAACGATACCAAAATACTGGTTTGACAAGTGAAAACATCTGATGTTTTCTGCCTCCATTTTGCACACAACTGTAAAAACCTGACATGCTGTTAAAGCAATGCTAATTAAAATTGCACGTGCAAATAAAATTGTTCTATATTGTTCTAAAATAAGAACATTGCATTTTCATCATTTATTTTTGGGATTATTCCCGTTAGAAAAGCATCAATAAGAGGATCGTTAAAATACCGGATCGTTAAGCAAGAGCAGATCTTTAACCGGGACAGATTTGTGAACAAATAACAGCAGATACAAACATTTTTTTCCCCAGAGTGTAGACTCCAGCAGGAAGAAACCCTGTGCAGTGACGGATCTCATAGCCGTAGAGTTTTCCAGGAGCTCAGCACAGTGTGTCTCAGGGGTTATGAAAGGTGTGTGTGAAAACGAACGTCGAACAACCAGGTGACCACGCATCGACTGTTTGGTTTCATATAGAGTACAATGGGGCCCTTTAATGCAGCAGTTAGCTCAAACTGTGGGCTGAGCCCCAGGGTTCGACAAATCCTACTGCCCGACTGCCCGGGGCAGGTAAAACTCAGAGTTGGGCAGGTGTGTGTCCTCAGGCAGGCAAACAATTTTTTTTGTTTTTTTATAGGGTCATTTATTCAAAATATTCTGAAAATAAATGAAGAAATATAGCGTTTAAAAACACGTATAGAAAGAATAAACCCTCAAATGTCCCTCTCCCTTGTAGAACAGTTACGTCTTGCGTTGTGTCGCGGAATCATTTCCTCCCTCCTGCTGCACGTCTCGCAGAGTGAAGCTTTAACAACCACAGTTTTTTTCACACCCAAGTTGTCTGAGAAAAAATTTGTTTCATATGTATTGTTACCCACAGAGATGATAAAAAGATGTGGACGTTCGTTCAGTCATAAATCCATCTTGCTAATGTCGCTTG